CATAAGAGCAATAAAAGCAATCTCGGCACTGAAAAATATTATCTACGGCTTTTTCGAAAGAACAGAGTGAATCAATATCGACAACATCCCCGGGAAGGCTGTTCCACAAATCAATTGTATGCACAAAAAAAAGATTGTTTATAGCTATTTATTCAAGCTTTAATAGGGGGCTACGGTCTTTGAGTGATGCAAGCGTTCCGAGTAAAAACTTTTTGGTTTTAAGTAAACGGAGCCATCAATTTTTATACAGTTCTTGAAAATCTGAAAGAACAGCTTCAACCGTTGGCTCTCTCTTCTGTTTGACAGAGGGCTTATATTGGCTCTCCTTTCAAGTTCGGTCACAGACGTAGTTCGTCTGAAATCTGAAAAAACTATACGCACAGCTAGCGACTGAATATCTTCGAGTTCTCTGACCAGAGAGCTCTGCCATGGGCTCCACACTGCAGACGCGTATTCTAACACAGGTCTAGTAATTGTCTTGTGCGCAAGAATTTTAACGGAAGGGGGAGTTTTACCCAGCGTTCTCTTCAGGTACCACAATTTGTTAGTTGCCCGCTTTTTAACATACTCCACATGCCTTTTCCACCCGAGGTCAGAAGACAAAATCACTCCTAAATATTTGTAACTATCCACTTCAGTCAATACTACGCCAGCAACCTCATAGCTAAAGTTTAAGACAGTTCTTTTTGTTGTTATGTGCATGTACTGAGTTTCGCTAATATTAATCTTCATGTTATTTTCACGACACCAAGACGGAATGTTAGCCAGTGCTTTACTCACTTTTATCTGGTCTTGTATTTCAACAACGGGACTGTAAATGACGCAGTTGTCGGCAAACATTCTTAGCTTAATTGGGACATCTTCATTGGATGGGAACAAACTGTTAACGTAAGTTAAAAAAAGTAGGGGCCCTAAGACAGAACCTTGGGGCACCCCAGAATGAACATCTAACAGCCCTGAGTAAGTACCATTTATATCCACAAATTGTTGACGGTTTGAAAGATATGCGTTGATCCACTTAGTCAAAGAAAAGGGAACTCCGAGATCTATTAATGTCTTAATCAGTCTGCGGTGAGGTACCCGGTCGAATGCCTTCGACAGGTCGATGAAAACTGCATCAACCTGCGTACGGTTGTTAATGTAAGTGGCTAATTCATGGTGAAATTCAATCAACTGGGTTACCGTTGACAGGCCACTGCGGAAACCATGTTGGTTGGGGTTTAGAACGTTATGCATTTCTGAGAAAGAAACGAGTTGTTTGGTTATGATATGTTCTAGTAATTTACAGGCCGTGCAAGTCATGGAGATGGGACGATTCATGGAGATGGGACGATGGGACGAAGAGTGCTAGAGCGACGATTCATTTTTGATACGAGTGCTTGCTTTCCTCCTGTAATGAACGAGCCCAGGTTGGTTAACAGAGCTGGTGTCAAAGTTTATGTACGAACGCAAAAGCTGAAGGTAGTCCTGATTTTTCGAGCCTTTGAACAGGGGCGTGGGGTTTTGAAGTGTCTGAGAATAAAGAGGCACTGCAGACAAGAAGACTGTGTCCTCGGTGTTGCTTGCCCACCCCCGTAAGATGTGGAGACACACTTCATTGAAAACCTACGTGATTTACTAAGACGGGGCTTTCTGCAGAACCCCGTAGGGGGCTGTGCAGAGAATACAGGTCGACATCAAGCCTTCAGAACTCACAGGTACCATTCGACAAGAATGCTGTAGCTGGACTTGAAACAAGCCGACGTGGGAAAGTACGGAAGCCGAGAAAACAAATGTGTCGGCCAAGCCGCAGCAAGGACGTCCCAGCACGACTGCGGACAGCGTTATCCTGGCTGTGCAAAGTGGACGTCCCTCGGAGACAAAAGGCAGACTTTTGATATTCCGCAGTAACCATGCCTGCGTTCAAATTTTGGCCGTCAAGGGAAAAGGGACGTAGCTTGAGGGTTCAAACTGAACAGGTAGCAAGCTAGAAGGTTACTCGTGCTTCACTTTAGCTCATCTTGCGCCAGAAAGTGCAGAAGGGGACAAAATAGAAAGTGTCGGGCCAGTTGTACTGTAGGGGCATGTCTACAAAAAGCTCTGTAGGGTTGTGTGGAGGCCCTCTTGCAGCACAGATGTGTATTTGTCCTCACCGTCTCTGGAAAAGACGACCATAACACAGAATGAACGTCCCTCGGAGACAAAAGGCAGACTTTTTGTATTCCGCAGTAACCATGCCTGCGTTCAAATTTTGGCCGTCGAGGGAAAAGGGACGTAGCTTGAGGGTTCAAACTGAACAGATAGCAACCTAGAAGGTTACTCGTGCTTCACTTTAGCTCATCTTGCGCCAGAAGGTGCAGAAGGGGACAAAATAGAAAGTGTCGGGCCAGTTGTACTGTAGGGGCATGTCTACAAAAAGCTCTGTAGGGTTGTGTGGAGGCCCTCTTGCAGCACATATGTGTATTTGTCCCTTCCCCAACAATTTGATAGTTGTACGTACCTATAATGGTTTTCTAATTACGAGCGAGCGGCAGCTCTTTGAAGTCTTGCTCGCGCTCTGGTGAGCCTTCAAACGACCAGCCGCTCCGCCGAGCGCGCGCCGCACCAGATGAATGAATTAAAATAATCTCGCGCGCATAGCGAACGTTCCTTTTACCCGAGGGAGCGCTTCAGAACAAAAAAGCAAATTGTGGTAGCAAATGATGAAGCGGTGAGCAATATCGAACCTGAAAATGACTGCTTTCGTGCGGGAAGTCGCATCAGTGCTCGTACAGTAATCTATCGACTCGATCCGAGGCAAACTACAGTCGTCGGGTCTTCTACGGAACGCGTGCTCACGTTTGACACCAACATCGCGGCTCGGAAACGAAAATTCAGCCTCGGAGGTCCGAACACAGGTTCGGAAATAAGAATTGGCCGCCATGACCATGCCCACGGTAAAAGCGTCGTAGCTTCGCGAAAGCTTTTATTTCACTCGTTCAAAGTGGTGTCCATAGAGTCTAGACAGAACAAGGAACACATCGGTGCTAGCGGCGATGAGATACGACCAGTATTAATGAAGGAAGTGTCTATTCTGCCGGCAGCCGGCAGAATAACCGGCGGGGGAAAAAGTGCCGGCAGTAGTCGCCTATTGGGTCTCGTATAAAACGGATTGTAAACACGCCTATTCCCAGCTGTGGATTAGCTCAGTGGGTAAGATGTGCGCTTCGTACACAGCAGGATCTTAGTTCAATCCCCCGAGAGTTTTTTTTTTTTTTTTTCTTCGGACTTTTGTTTTTTGTTGAGGTATTGGGCGATATTTACGGCATCTCTCTTTTAGAATTAACACTACAAAAAAACACGCAAAAAAAAACAAAAAAAAACAGAAAAAACACCAGAAATCAGCCGAGTTCTCCGAGCGGTTTTAATAGGTCGATAAAACAACTTTTGCGTTATCTATCTCGAAGAAATTTGACACACAAACAGTCCTACCTGGTGCGAGACCCTTCCCCAACAATTTGATAGTTGTACCTATAATTGTTTTCTAATTACGAGCGGGGGCGGCAGCTCTTTGAAGAATATCAATCCACTCGTGCTCGGGAGACCGTCCCTGTTGATCGAAAAAGTCTCGATTGAGATGAGCTGACACGGTTTCACTGCACACACATTTTCCTACGATGTTGTTTTCACGACCACGATCGATGAATGCACTCCAGCGGTCTTGAATATTCACGGGTGAACGATTGAACTTGGTCGGGGTTCTTAATCTCCAAGCAGAGTCCCAAAAACCTGTTTTCGCGAGTATAACGAGTTCTAGACGAGCTGGAGCGATGAAAATTTAACAGTGCGTCTAAATTCAGAGCGCGATCATTCGCTGCGAATTAGAACCTTCCAACTATCGTAGTTTTCTTTATACGAGGATATGCCAAATCACAACACCACAGAATGAAGCCTTACACGTAAACTTTTTAATCAACACTTTCTTATTAGATTAGCTACATCGATGAGACGCGCCTATAATGTTCCTCGGAACATCCCACTCGCCTGGTTAAAATAAATGACCCAGCTAGCACTTGTGGATTGATATACTTGAATACAAAGTACAGAGATACAAAAAAAGAAGAGAAAACGCAAGTTCAAAGGCTGTATAGATAATACAACGCCGCTGACAGCGTCTTGCAATAAGCGCAACAGAGAACATTAAAAGAATGTATGTGCTCGCTTTTGGGCGAGCACACACATAAAAAAACACATTTCTTTTTTTTTTTTTTCACGATTACCATTGGAAACAATCAAATTTTTGAATAACACTGATAAGGTACTTACTTCGTTTCCGCAGGTGTGCACAGGTGTCCGTTTAACCTCAGATTGTTATATTAAAAACGCAACACCAGGTAATCCGTAAAATGGGAGAGCGGAACAGGGGAAAATTGTAATGTAATAGCTCACAACAAAGTTGGGAGGAGTGGCAGTAGTGGGCAAGAGAAAAATTAAAACACCATGCAAAGGGTTACACATCAAACAAACGCTCCATCGACTGCAAAACATTGTCAGATACAAATCTGCGATGAGGTAGGCTGTTTCATTCTGTTATGGTTCTGGGAAAAAGAGTATTTAAATGCATTTGTAAGCAGATCAAGACCCTATGGCGTCGGGAAGTATTTAAATTCTTTTTTTTTTATATTTGGTTTTTGTTCATTTACACTGCAGGCCATTTCCAATCCCCAAGCAGGGTGCGACGAGAAGGAACAAAAAAATAACAGTAAACCGACAAATCTGGTACACTGGAGATCACAAAAAGAAAGAAAAAACACAAGTTCAAAGGCTATGTATAGATATAACAGAACGCCGCTCATAGCGTCTTGCAATAAGCTCAAACATAAGAAAGAAAAATTTATGTCCTCGCGCTTTTTTTTTTTTTTTTTCACGATTACCACGGGAAAAAATCAAATCTCTGAACAAACTGATAAGGGACTTACTTCGTTTCCGCAGGTGTGCACAGCAGGGGCTTCGTCCTCACCAGCAAAACACAAAACAACAGATTTCTCCGTTTTAACCTCACGTTTTATTAGGCTTGACGTCAAACTTTATTAGGCCGACAATGCAAGTTTCCGGACGAGCTGTCTCGATGAAAACACACTTGTTCCTATTCAGTGAATTCGCACGAGCTAACACGATTTCATAAAAACACTTTTTGCTTGGAGCAAGTTCTCAGTTGCCATTCAAGCGGTCTTGATTAAGCACAGGTCATCCGCAGCTGAAGGAGGTCACTTGAAACGGAGGGCCAGCCGTGCAACTCGCTCTTGCGCTGCACAAAAAGACAATCTTTAGCGCCCTACATTAAAGATGCACCGAACGTTCTTACGCCATACACATATCTTTTTTTCTTTTCTTCCGTGCGTCAGAGAGTGATGAAACGTTTGAGTTCGTAGAGGCCGGCTTCCTAGCTCGGCGCCGCCGAATTCCGTGTTTCCCCTGAAAAGAACAAAAGAATTCGTGCAAGAAGTCGGCTCCAACGGTCGCCCAAGGGACAAACGAGCTGTAGCAGACGGCAGAGTTTCGGGGAAAGCTCACGCCACTAGCAAAGCCTGGCCTGGCGCTGCTGCCCGCCCGCCGAAACCGCTCCTCCTTTCCCTCCTTCGGGACACGCTAGTATCTTTTTTTTGGGCTTCTTGTCGGCTGCGTTCTTGGCGCCCGACTTGATTGACAGCCTCTGTCTGGCGGTCTGCTTTAATCTCTTCTTCCCTGCCTTGCAGCGGGGACTGCTCCTCTTTGTGCAATAGCTACTCTGGGGCGTTTTTCTTTTTGCTATTCTTTGCTTTAAAAGCTCTTTCCCCGCGTCTAGCAAACACACACACTTCTTTCGCGGCACCGTTAATGAACACCGTCTGCGTTTAGAAACTTACAAACGAACAGCACCGAACTCGATTACCGAAGCGCCGATGAAATTAATCAGCGCGCCCAGCGAAAACCCAACACGCTCGAACGCTGATTTTACGATGCAAGATAATAAAAAAAAAACGTATTTGGACCCTACCAAACCTATTACAGCAAGAAATTAAGAAATACGAGCAAAACAATATTGCGCAATCCTTAATCGGACGTTCGAATAGCGGCTGACTTCGTTTTATCAGTTAAAAAAATAATAAACGTAGGTAGACACGCTGAACTTCACGTATAGCCGGTATGTAAAACCTTAGTAAATAAAATGTAAATAAACTGTTGGCTTTAAAACGGTATGTACACATACCGTTTTAAAGCCAACAGTTTATTTATTATTTCGTGCCAACTGAGAAATCGACACGAGTTCAAAAGACGAATTTTGCCTAACGAAAACTGCCCAAACGCCTAGGATGTGCAGGTCACGCTTGCATAATTGTGGAATGCCTTTTTCCCACCCTATTATAGTTTGATCGCTCACTCCTCTCTTTTTCCGAGGCAGTATTCCATCATTTCGCGATGGAATACGCGCTTCAAAGCTTAATACACTTTATATCTTTGCCGAGCATGGACCTATCAAAAAAAGCACTTCCATGAAACATGCATAGGTAAATCTTGCTCGCGCTCTGGTAAAGAGCCTTCAAAAAAACGACCAGCCGCTCCGCCGAGAATTCAATTCATCTTGCGCGCCTATATCACGCTCAATATAGTAGATCCCATTAAAAGCCTTCTTTGCCGACATCGCTCGCTCCGAAAAGAACATTTCCATCTACCAACCGCCGAGCACAACAAACGCTCTTCTAATCTCCTCGCAAAACGCACGCGCTCACACAAACGACTTTGGGCAAAAACAAAGATCATGAAATGATCTTTGTTTTTATTCCCAGCGTCATGTACACGCATTTCTTGCGTGGAACAACGAATGAATAACTGCTATCTGCGTTTAATTCGATCTAGAAATCCCGTCGCGCCCGTTTGTTTACTTTCTGCCTTCCAGGTTAGACAACCTTCCTTCAAAAAATCCTAAAAAATCACCAATTCGTGCTAGAAGTGCCTGCCTCGGACGATAGGTAGCGAACAATTAGCGCCTTAGTTTGCGATTAAATAAGCTTCTGTACGCGTTTAAATAAAACTTGAAAGCACGCCGCCCGTCACGCGCGATGCCGGCGTTCGCTTTTCCAGGAGGGTTAAACACACTGCTCCTTTTTTCTTTAAGTTGAAAAAAGGTAATAATAAAAGTAGATAGAGATTCTTAATTTCGTGTGCCGTTAGACAAACGTGTGCGCTAAGAGCACAGAAAAAGAGACTGTTCTAAAGGTAGTAGTTCACTTTTATTTTTAATTTTTGCCTGATCTTAGACGATCGGATCGCGGCTCGAGCGCGCTTTCCGGACTCAACCGCTTCACTCTCTAACCCAAGAAAAAATAGTTGTACGCATATCGAAGTATATATTTTCCGAAAGCTAATGAACTTGTCCAATAGGTGTAAAAATTATTTGATTTTAAACGGAATTATTCTTCTTCATATTTCGATTTAACCAGCCAAACTAGTTTTCGGGTGCTCTGGGTGGCTGGTCGATTTAAGTTGAAAAAAGGTAATAATAAAAGTAGATAGAGATTCTTAATTTCGTGTGCCGTTAGACAAACGTGTGCCCTAAGAGCACAGAAAAAGAGACTGTTCTAAAGGTAGTAGTTCACTTTTATTTTTAATTTTTGCCTGATCTTAGACGATCGGATCGCGGCTCGAGCGCGCTTTCCGGACTCAACCGCTTCACTCTCTAACCCAAGAAAAAATAGTTGTACGCATATCGAAGTATATATTTTCCGAAAGCTAATGAACTTGTCCAATAGGTGTAAAAATTATTTGATTTTAAACGGAATTATTCTTCTTCATATTTCGATCTAACCAGCCAAACTAGTTTTCGGGTGCTCTGGGTGGCTGGTCGATTTAAGTTAAAAAAAGGTAATAATAAAAGTAGATAGAGATTCTTAATTTCGTGTGCCGTTAGACAAACGTGTGCCCTAAGAGCACAGAAAAAGAGACTGTTCTAAAGGTAGTAGTTCACTTTTATTTTTAATTTTTGCCTGATCTTAGACGATCGGATCGCGGCTCGAGCGCGCTTTCCGGACTCAACCGCTTCACTCTCTAACCCAAGAAAAAATAGTTGTACGCATATCGAAGTATATATTTTCCGAAAGCTAATGAACTTGTCCAATAGGTGTAAAAATTATTTGATTTTAAACGGAATTATTCTTCTTCATATTTCGATCTAACCAGCCAAACTAGTTTTCGGGTGCTCTGGGTGGCTGGTCGATTTAAGTTGAAAAAAGGTAATAATAAAAGTAGATAGAGATTCTTAATTTCGTGTGCCGTTAGACAAACGTGTGCCCTAAGAGCACAGAAAAAGAGACTGTTCTAAAGGTAGTAGTTCACTTTTATTTTTAATTTTTGCCTGATCTTAGACGATCGGATCGCGGCTCGAGCGCGCTCCGGACTCTCCCGCTAAAAATCGGACTCTCCCGATAAAAATCAAAGCTATACTTCGTTTCACCTTATGTGCGAGCGAGGGCAAAGCTGGAAGCGCGAGCACGAAAGCTCCGTGCGTTCAGGCTTTGCTCGAGCGCGCGAGCTGGGGAGAAACGCAAAAAGCGCTGGTCTCGTGCTTTTAGCTTTGGCTTCGCTCGCAGATAAGGTGAAACAAAGTATAGACGCTTTACACACGCGCCAAATTACAGCCGCCATGGCTGACCTTCTCTTGTCTTACCGAGATGCCGAGCAACTGAAACGGTAGTTGACGATCCTCCACAAAGGCCGATGCTTTAGAAAAGGACACAGTTGAATCTAATGTTTCAATAACCTGGCCTGCTATGGTAATGATGACGTGAAATAAACGAAATACGAGGAAACAAAAACTGAAGGTCAGTTATGGCGGCGTCCATTCACAGCTGCTGCAAAGCGTCTATAGAAGCAGACAAAGAACGCACCCGACAAGAAGCAACGCCAAAGAAAGGAAAGATAACGGATACAGTCTCAAAGAGCTAAGTGGGTCAGGGGGCCCAGGCAAGGGGTGGCCCTAGGGTGCCTGAATGTCCTGTTTAGGGTGATGCCACCCTTTGTAGTACCAGATGCCGACAGCACGCGCTCACGGGCAAAATACAAAGAAATCGACGAAAACAAAATGTCGCCATAGCACAGTCAGCGCCACAAGCGCGTGCAGGGACACGCTCTTTCACCTGCTTCTCAACAAAAAAATAAACGTGTGTGACAAAATGGCGACATGCCACCACCCTAAGCAAAGCGCGCATGAAGGCACCCTAGGTGGCCCGGCGTGCGCGTTCTAAGCGGAGTCGAGTTAGAAAAAAGATTTCAGCGCGCGGTTCACCAAATGCAAAGGTAGAAATATGACATTTTCTAAAAATGCCTGGCACTTCGTTCTCTTCTACAGCACGAGCCGCGACGTTCGGCAACCGCTTCGAGGATCTGACCGGCTGTGTCCCGGTATCGACCACCTGAACCGGGAGCTACGCACGGTGCGAAGGGAACAGCGGAGGCACGAGCATCTACGCCACCCCGTCCCTGGACTGAGCGGCTACACAAGCCAGGAAACGAGCCTCGTCACGACATATGCCGGGGAATCTCTAGGCCTCGTAGAACTTTCTTTCTCCCGACCCTTCTCTTACCAACCCCGGACGAGCCTGTGACAACGTGCGACAGACATTGCTAATTGTTCTGTACAGAAGAGAACGAAGTGAGATGACAATTTCGTGTGCCGCTAAAGAAACGTGCGCGCCAAGAGCACAGAAAAACAAGTTAAAAAATGTAATAATAAACGGAGATAGAGATTCTTAATTCCCGCTTCACCTGCTTCACTCTCTAACGCAACGAGAAATACTTTTACGCATATCGAAGTATATATTTTCCGAAAGCTAATGAAATTCTCCAATAGGTGTGAAAAGCACTTGGTTTTAAACGAATTATTCTTCTTTTTTTGCTGAAAAACTCAAATCACTTTCGTTTGCCAAATAATCAAAAACTCGAAATTAAAGGATAGTATAATGGACGTACACTTACCCCAATGTGTCGAACGAAAGGAGGCCCTTTGACGAAGGCAGGAAGCGTGAGGCGACGTTCGGGGTCCGAAGAAGAAGAAGACCGATTTCGGAACAAAGAACAAAGAAGGAGCTGGACACTGGCGACTACGCGACTGCTCCCAAGCACAACGGAAACCACACTGGGGCCGGCCTCTGGGAACAAAGGAAAGCGGAGGAGGATGAGCGAGGAGGAGAGGGAAAGAGAAGGAAAAAAGTCGGGAAGGGGATCGCGCCGCCTGGTGGAGGGCAGACACACCACTCGCATCGGGTATTTTTTTCTTTATTATTTTGTTTATTTTTTGCACTATTTATTAAGGGAAGCATTCTCGTTGATCTCCCTTCATTAATACTGGTCGTATCTCATCACCGCTAGCACCGATGTGTTCCTTGGTCTTTCTAGACTCTATGGACACCACTTTGAACGTGTGAAATAAAAGTTTTCGCGATGCTACGACGCTTTTACCGTGGGCATGGTCATGGCGGCCATTTCTCCTTTTAGAAACCTTTGTTCGGACCTCCGAGGCTGAATTTTCGTTTCCGAGACGCGATGTTGGTGTCAAACGTGAGCAGGCGTTTCGTAGAACACCCGACGACTGTACTTTACCTCTGATCGAGTTGATTTTTTACTGTACGAGCACTGATGCGACTTTCCACAGGAAAGCACTAATTTTCGGGTTCGATATTGCTCAGCCCTCCTCCCTCGTACGTTTTCTTGAGAAAACTGTTTTTGTTTCTTGTTTAGCAACGGCCAGCGCACCTTTCGAAAGTTATTAGAAAACTTTATCTGCTCTGGATTTTAAATAAAGACACACCTGGGTCCTGTAGCCGAAAGATTTTTTTTTCTAAGCTTTGGAACCTCCTTTCGTAAAGGTATGCCTACTGAAATTTGAGGCCTCTGGTACCTTGCTACCTGTGAAGTTTCAACCCTCTGGATCCATCCGTTTTTCTCTGACGGCCAAAATTTGAATGCAGGCCTGTCTTAGTAAATCACGTTCAGGGGCTCTGGAAGCGGGGGGGCAGGGTGGGCTTGAGCCCCTCCTGTCCTCAGGACCGAGCTGCCGAGCCCCCCCTCCCCCTCCCTCTTTTTTTTCTTTTTTTTTAGTTTGTGTGTTTGCAGGTTATCTGGTATGGGCCTTCGGCCTATTTCCTGTACCTCCGTATCTCCTGAGCCGAAATAAATGAAATGACTCTTTATACATGCTGACCTACCGCCCTCCTCACCTCCGCCAAGCACAAAAAGCACCGGGGCGACGGAGAGGCTTGCTTGAAAAGTCAAAACCAGAAGAAAATGACAGGCAGGACTCATGAGCCTGATTGACAACCAGTTTAGAGCGAGCAAAGAGGAGACAGCGAAATGAATGGATTCCGACAAGACGACGTCGGCCAGCGTTTGTCTGCTTCCCCCGTGTGGAAGCAAGAAGCCCAGAAGATGCATGGTGCTTCTGGCCCGCGGACAAAACAGGCAGGCGCTTAAAGGCCATCATTAGGAAAAGGGGGAGGGGGGGGGGGTCTGGTGAGCTTGAGTGGGGATTCGGCAGTGAAAGTCTACGAGCTCCCAAATTTGACAAGGCGCCTTTGATGGCGAAAGCTTTGCGCGCATGCGGCGTCGTGCCCGCAGGGTGGTGAGGCATGAGGCGACACATGTTTACAAACTAAGGACAACACAACACGAAGTCTGAAACACAGCTATTATCCTTCAGTACTCTCCTTTTGTGATGCCCCCCAACTTGTATTGACGCCAGGAGTCCGAAGCGATCACGGTCGATGTACTTGATCCTGAGGTACATACCGATGTATGCAACCTCTGCTTCCAGTTAAGACATCCGATGGCCCAACTTGCTGTGTTTGAGACTCCGTGTTGTGTTGTCCTTTTTTCCCCCGAGTTTCGGGGTTTTGTCTAAAACTTTTAACACTTGTTTGTCTACGTCTGCGTTAATACATCATGCTTCCCCGAGAATCCCTAAATGAAGGAAGGTTTTCATTTTTAGACATAGCCAATTTGGCATAGGCACAGCTGCGGTTGACATGTAACAGTTGGTATAGGAAAGAAAAAATAAAGAACACATGGTGCGGCTGATTTCAGTGGTTATCCAATCATTCTATGAGTTGTCAGTGCAAGCTTCTTACTGTTATTTTACTGAACCATTGTTTTAATTTGTTTTCCATGGATATGTGCGTGAATATGCGAACGCGGTGCATTAATATGTTTTCATTCAAATGTGGCAATTAATGTCAACCTGAAACCAACCTAACCTTGAGGATTTCGGAGATGTCGAGCCCCCCCTCTAAAGAAAGACTTCCGGAGCCTCTGGTCACGTTTGTTTTGATTAAAGTGTGTCTCCACATGTTACGGGGTGTGGGCTCTGTAGGGTTGTGTGGAGTCCCTCTTGCAGCACAGATGTGCATTTGTCCTCACCGTCTCTGGAAAAGACGACCATAACTCAGAATGAACGTCCCTCGGAGACGAAAGGCACACTTTTGGTTTGGCGCAGAAACAACGCCCGCGTTCAGATGTTGGCCGTCAAGTGAAAACGGACTTAGCTTGAGGGTTCAAACTGCTCAGATAGCAACCTAGAAGGTTACTCGTGCTTCAGTCGAGCTCATCTTGCACCAGAAAAAGCACAAGGGGGGAAAATAGGAGTGTGGGAGCGGTTGTACTGTGGCGGCATGTCTAGAAAAAGCTCAAAAGTGATTTGTGGAGTCCCTCTTGCGGCACAGATCTGTATTTGTCCTCACCGTCTCTGGGAAAGACCACCTTAACAAAAGAATGGACGTGAAAGTGAGGCAAAGGGCGTAGTTTTGCTTCGAGGTAGAAACAGCGCCTGCGTTCAGATGTTGGCCGTCAAGTGAAAACGGACTTAGCTTGAGGGTTCAAACTGAACAGATAGCAAGCTAGAAGGTTACTCGTGCTTCAGTCGAGCTCATCTTGCACCAGAAAAAGCACAAGGGGGCAAAATAAAGAGTGTGGGGCCAGTTGTACTCTAGGGGCATGTATACAAAAAGCTCTGCAGGAACAAACCTTTTCCCGAGGTGGACAGCAGGGGCCTGAAGACATAAATAAAAAAGAAGTGGCTCATTTAACGAGTCTTCACTGCGCCAGAAAAACAAGAATCAGCTCATTTCTTTTTGAGACCTCAGACTTTATTAGGCCAAGAATACAATTTTTCAGACCAGCTGTCTCAATGTAAAAACACACTTCCTTATTAGTACCCTTTTGACACACAAACAGTCCTACCTGGTGCGAGACCCTTCCCCAACAATTTGATAGTTGTACGTACCTATAATGGTTTTCTAATTACGAGCGAGCGGCAGCTCTTTGAAGTCTTGCTCGCGCTCTGGTGAGCCTTCAAACGACCAGCCCCTCCGCCGAGCGCGCGCCGCACGAGATGAATGAATTAAAATAATCGCGCGCGCATAGCGAACGTTCCTTTTACCCGAGGGAGGGCTTCAGAACAAAAAAGCAAATTGTGGTAGCAAATGATGAAGCCGTGAGCAATATCGAACACGAAAATGACTGCTTTCGTGCGGGAAGTCGCATCAGTGCTCGTACAGTAAACCATCGACTCGATCAGAGGCAAACTACAGTCGTCGGGTCTTCTACGGAACGCGTGCTCGCGTTGGACACCAACATCGCGTCTCGGAAACGAAAATTCAGCCTCGGAGGTCCGAACACAGGCTCGGAAAGTACAATTGGCCGCCATGACCATGCCCACGGTAAAAGCGTCGTAGCATCGCGAAACCTTTTATTACACACGTTCAAAGTGGTGTCCGTAGAGTCTAGAAAGACCAAGGAACACATCGGTGCTAGCGGTGACGAGATACGACCAGTATTAATGAAGCGAGATCGAAGAAAGGATCGGTGCCTAAAGTGAGGAAAGCGAATGGCTGGCTTCGATGTGAAAACTTTCAAACGCCGTTTATTTCGCGAAACTCGCATCACACAAGAAAAGAAATCGGTCTCTGTCCAGTCCAGGGGCGGCTGGGAACAAGTGTCCCCCATTTGATATCGTAAATTCAAGGTCGTAATATAGATTTCAGAAATTCAATATTTTCAATGGTAAAACAAAAGGCACCAGGTGGCGGGATTTACCGACCGGTCGGAATTGCTCAGCCGCACTCATGGATCCATTCATTCGAAACGGGTCATCTATCTATTCATTCATAAAAAATGTAATTCCTGGCCGTGTTTTAAAATTAACGAAATCATACTGCGAGGTAAAGCTTCTGTACACCTGGCGTTTTGAAACCTGCCTGCGTCCAGCGTTCTTTCATTTCTGCTGTCACGTGACACGATCCGCCCGAGTAACTCGGGTTTATTAGGGTGAGATTTGAAACACAGCCCTGGTTTAATAACACCAAGCTTAGAATTACGGGAATCGTCTTATTTTTGAAAACGAGACCCGTGTTCCACAACAAGTTTAAATTATTTAGGTCAAGTATTTAGAAATTTACCGCCCATTCGTGGTTCTTGTTTTGGTTTTTGCAAAAAAAGCAAATGGCTGCCGCGTGTTTTGCTCGCAACCGGAGGTGATTCAATCGCACGAAGCTCGGAAAGTAGGCTAGCTAGGACATTTATTTTAACCAGGGAGTAAGATTATGTTCCGAGGAACATTCGAGGCGCGTCTCATCGATGTAGGTATTCTAAAAAGAAAGTTATCAACAGAAGTTTACGTGTAAGTAAGGCTTTCACTGTACGATGTTTTGATTTCACATATGCTCGTATAAAGAAAACTACGATAGCTAGAGGGTTCTAATTCGCAGCGAATGATCGCGCTCTGAATTTAGACGCACTGTTAAAATTTCATCGCTCCAGCTAGTCTAGAACTCGTTATATTCGCGAAAACAGGTTTTGGGACTCTGCTCGGAAATTAACAAGCCCGACCAAGTTCAATCGTTCGCCTGTGGATATTCAAGACCGCTGGAGTGCATTCATCGATTGTGGTCGTGAAAACAACATCATAGGAACATGTGTGTGCAGTGAAACCGTGTCAGCTCATCTCAATCGAGACTCATCGATCAACAGGGAGGGTGTCCCGAGCACAAGTGGATGGATATACTTCAAAGAGCTGCCGCTCGCTCGGAATTAGAAAACCATTAAGCTATCCAATTGTCGGGAAAGGGTGTCGCACCAGGTAGGAGTGTTTGTGTGTCAAATTTCTTCGAGATAGCAAACGCAAAAGTTGTTTTATCGACCTAATAAAACCGCTCGGAGAACTCGGCTCATTTGTGGTGTTTTTTTCTGTTTTTTTTTTGTTGTTTTTTTTAGTGAAAAAAGATGACTCTTCAGATTACCATTTCTTTTAGGTAATTGAGAAGTTGCATTAAAGAAACGGCCTGCACAGTAAATACAAATGGTTCTATTGCGATTATTTCATAATTGA